ACCATTTCAATTTCTACAATGGCTAGGGCAGGGAGGAAGTTCCTTTTCCAAGCTGAAGAGCAAGCAGGAGATACTCTAACTCATTCTGTTAACAGATCCTGGGAATAGCTACTCTTAAGATTAATGCCCATTGTTTAATTGAAGATCAGTTATCAATAGAAACAGCATGATACAGAACTTTGACTCAAGTGGAATGCTTAATCCAAAATCTCATGGAGAAATACCTAAATGCCAAGGTGGCACAGCTCTGCCCCAGCCAGTTACCATCATGAGGAGCACTGGGGAGGAGGGCTGGAAGCGTATGCTGTCAACATCCAATCTTCAATTGCAAATAAAAGACTTTCTGTGAAGCTCAGACATGTCTGGCAGTAGCTATAACTACTGACCATCTTCATTTAACATTTACTACCAAGTCTGTTTGAATTCAGACTTACAATTTGTTTCAGCAAAGCACATTAAGGACTGCAAGGGTCCCACATTTTCTGCCAGTGGAGACAGATGAGACACCAGGAAATGCAAGAGTCCACCTCAGTTTCTGTTCCAAATGTGCTTATTCAGGATTATGTCAAATGTGCCTTACCACAGCAGTTTCCAGAAAATCAGTCTCTGACCAACTCCTGTGGAAACAGAAGCCAAGCCCAAAGGACAAACCTGACAGGTTTTCCAGATGCCAGCTAGGAACAAACAGATTTCTCAGTCTCTGTCTCATTTCTAAGCAGTGCTGTGGGATAACACCACTGTGAAGGTGATAGCTACACAAATCAACCATAATCTCAATTCTTACTAAGGAACACCTTGGAGCCTTTTTATGTGATTTTTCTTCATGTGCTCATTTCTTCCATCATCTGAGTATCACTTTCACCTCTTTCTCCAGTCACCTGCCATACTACTGCTTTTTTTTCACACAAATACTTTAAAAAATCTGCTTACTTTATGAAGTTCAGAAAAAGACTTGAAAATCAGTCCTTTCTAAATGCAGCTAGGCATGAACAGGCCTTTTCTTTCATGCCATAGCATTTCCTGACTGGCCAAATTCTCTTCTATCTACCAGAATCTCTACCTTCATTCTATTACTGGTTGAAACAGACCTCAGTTAAAATTGAATATATTCAATTTAATAGTTCTTAAAGGAAATCAGGAAAACACTTGGCAATTTAGAATAAGGAAAAACTACCAGTTAGTTGTTTTTTAGCATGCTGTTTTTTAGCATGAAGAGGTACATTAATATACAACAGTATATTAATGTACCTCTTCATTACAGGTAAGGTTAAGGAATATATTTTAGAAACACAGACTTTCTGAGATACTTCAGTTCCATTGCTGGCGGGGTTGCTTTGCTGGTTACTCACCTTCCTAATCAATAGGTGGCCACAAAAGGGTGAATTGTCCAGTTCCTACTTTTAACAAGGAGATATCCAGATAGCTCTGCTCTGTTAGTCCTCTCTCTGCTAAAGTATTCAAAATATTCATAACTCTGTACATTCACAATGAACAGTTCAACTTCTCTGAATAGCTAAAGTGTCTCACAACCCCTGGAACAAGAGTTCCAGATAAAAAATGTAATTTTCCTTACTTTTGAAGAAGCAATGCAACAGCGCAGAAAGTAAGGGGAAGTGTAACAATTCCCACCAAACAGCAATGCTGTTCTCCATTCTTTGAAGCACCTTGTGGGCTCTACATTAATCATCAGTGACAGAAGCCCAAACCACTTGGTTTCACCTGTATCTAACTCAGAAAAGGTACCCCTTCTATTGAGATATGGATTTAGCCAAACTGATCTATTCTTTTGCAATTCTGTGCTTGGATCAATCCAATTTGCTCTTCCTTGGTCTGACCCAGATGCCACTCCATAACCTACAGATGGTTCATTGTACTGTATCCCATCTGTTAAATAAAACACAGTAATGAGAATACATCACTCCAATATTCCTCACTTTACTTTGGTTTCCATTCTAATCCTGAACACAGCTGAAGGTCCTGGTCCTTTCAGTGGTCCATGACAAAATTGTCTAAGAGAAGACCTCTTCATTCTGCTTCTCACAGAAGATGGATATAACAGAGCTTCTATGCCCAAAATGTGTCAGATTCAAACTTGAATGTATGGAACAGAGATCTCCCAGCTTCAATGCTCACTTCTACCACACATTGTTGTTTGCTATGTTTAGCTTGTGATAAAAAGATTCATCTTTTTTTAAGGTAGCTTAGCTACCAGTGGAAACACCACAGCAGTACATTCCTAAATTAAAAATTAAATCATGTTGTTAACATATAAATGATCAAGACTTCAAGGAGTGAGATCTGTTTTGAAAGACTTACTAAGTTTAGCATACTATGCTTCAACACTACAACACATAGAGTAGATACTGTTAAAATAACCCTAATAAATTTGAACTAACAACACGGAAATATCAATAGTGTTCATGTGTAAAGAAAATTCTTTCTATTTTACTGAAAGTTGGGATTCCTTAGGGCATATAGTTATATGAAATAAATGTAAGTTTGATACATAAATCATTGTGTATACCTGGAAGAAAAGTCTGTTCTCTGAAAATTCAGTGCAGTGCAAGAGAATTTTTAGTTATTTTACTAAGAAAAAAAAAATTCCAAACCCCAGCTTGTCTCTTAAGATAATATCTTTCTAAAAATATACATTCTTATGCAGAAAGGTGGTCCTATTTATCAGGAGAAGATGGATGATAACAACAATAGCAAGTTTTCTTGATGAAATCTTGGCTTTTCTGAAATTAAGAGATTTTTTTGGCATTGACTTCCATTAAGAAAGATTTCAATGCCTGAAATGTAGAAGAGAGAAATTTTCATGCTTTATTGAATCTAATTGGTGGTTGAAACTCTTTGTTTTGCTTTTCATTTATTTTATTCTCTACTTTTGTGAAACACAAGTTACAGAATAAGAAAAGGCTAACAAATGCTCTAGAACCAATCAATGTTATGAAATTAATAATAATACAAAATGAGCATGTAAGCTTATGTAGTGTCTTTCATGTAGAAGTATCCCAAGGCACTTCGTAACAGAAACTCAATAAGGAGTGCAAAAGTGCTTTGTCAGATAGGATAAGCCAGGGGAAAAGGGGAAATTAATTAAGCATGGATTTAAATTTCTCAGCCAACACAGCATTTAGAACCTTGTTCAGAAAAGACAGTGGTTCCAATATCTGTATCCAGGGAACACAACAGACTATTTCAGTCTTTAATTCTTGAGGAATGTTCAATAGTTTTCCCACAATAATATGGGTATGACTAACAGGGATGCAGTCCGATGGCTGCATTTCCAAAGAGCAGTCCCTGCCTCGCTCCCTCTACTTTTTCATGGACAAGTAGATCCATAAAAGTTGATCACCTGACTTGTGTGCCAGTCACTTGACTGTGGAGATACCCAACATGCAATTTGGTACAGCAGAAATGATAAATACCAAGTTAAGGGCTGGATAATGCTTTTCTGTGCTGTTTAGCTCACTGTTTTAAACCAATGCCTGTTTCCTTATGGAGGAGGTCCACATCTCTGACAGAGTGATCTGCTGCACAGTAGTTCCTAAAACAGCATGTGTTTCACAGGGTAAAATAAAGTTGCTTGGGAAAACTATAGCAATCGATAATACAAAAATCACAGCTTCCCTGATGTTGCAGAAACTTGCACATCCTCTATTTTTCAAACATTTTTCTCTTAGGAACACATGGACCATCCCTTTTTTTGGATGGCTGCCTCTTCGGATTAATGCATCCTTCTGGTGCATAAATTAGCGATGCACAGAGGAAAAAAGGAGAAGCACTAAATCTCAGGAAACTGAAGCCATACAAAAAAATGAGATTCACAGCAGAGCTGAATGAGTGACTCACCATGAATAATTTATCCAAAAAGTTAGCCTACACTTCTGTTCATGGAGTAGCTATAAGAAGCTTATAATTTCCTCAGTTTTATTATAAAACAAAACCTTAAAATATTGTATGTCTTCACTGCAAATAACTTCCTGTAAATATTTCATGTCCTATTTTAAGAGATTGGGCACTTTTGGTTGATCAAATAAATCACACAATGATGTTTCTGTCCCCAAGATGGATGAACCCACAAGCACATATTTTGGATGCCTGCTGTGATTAAGCAAGCAGCTCAGTAATGTGATGAAAAGTGAGTGTAGGGAATATAAGTTAATTTACAAAAAACTCCAAAGATTTTTTTTTCAGTATTTACACTGAAGCTGTAGTGAATTGTAATTCTGATTAATAACTCTAGGAATTTGTAGGTACCTCTAAATATTTTCTTCTTGAAGAATAGGTACAGAATAATCTGCCAGTCTTTCCAGAGTTTAATCTAAGCTTTTGGATCAGTTATTAGGATTTGGTGCATGCATAGGTGAATTAAAGTAGTTATGTTGAAATTTTACGATATTTGCAGTCTGAAATATCCTTGTGTAGTTTGAGGTTTTGAGTGGGTTGAAATTCTTTGTGCAAGCTTGAGAAATCCTCCCTGCTACTTCCATAAATTATGAAACCTCAACAAATACTTAAGGAAGAATGAGCTATTAGTGCATTTAGAATTTACAGGAGTATACAGATCAGTTTTATAAAAGCCATCTAGTAAAATATATTAATATCTCTTGGAATGTCCAGGTATTGAAATGCTATATCACATATGACAGGAAAAAGAAGACTGAAGAGCTGAAGATTCACCAGAAATTATTTTGTTGTGTGCCCTGACACTGGCTGAAAATAAAGACAACATACCAGAATCCTGCCCACTTCACATTACGTTTGATTATGCTTGCATAATTATTGCTAACATTTTGCTTTAGTTTTTTGTATATCTAAAAAGTGAACTTGCATAAATTATTCTTTTTCAGATCTATTCTAAAGCTTTACAAAATGCATTTGCTTGATTCTTTATTTTATAGCAGTAGCACTGGTATAAAATTGTCAATATCATTAGAAAATAAAACTGAAAAAATAAACGATGTAAGTTCTTACCTGAGCTCTTGAGCTATGGAGTCCACTTGAACTGTTAATAAAAGCAGGAAAGAATTAATTAGTTTACACTTCCAGACTTGTGCTTTCTGCAGCCTTGCACCTGCCTATCTGTAATGACAGAGGAGTGGCTATCAAAACACAGGTGGTTATTTCATGCTAACCACAGGATTGTAGCTACTAGTGACAAATGCTGAATGAAGGTGTAATTGTCACAGTTATTTTAGGATGCATGAAACCTGGAGTATGATGTTCAGTGGAACAATAAGGAAAACAATGAAAATAAAAGACCCTTGTTTTTCCTGAAAATAGATTGCAAAATCTCCAATTTTCAGAATTTAAAATCAGTTTGGGAATTGCAAAGGCCGGTGTTTACAAATTCCTGCCCTCACAGGAGTTTACAGCATATTGACAAGGCCAACAGGTGTCTGTAAGGATTACTCATAGTGCAGAGGCACCTTTTGTTGTTTCCACTTCTGGGGAAAATGTTCTTGATATATTAGTTGCTATAAGAGTGTATGCACATGTGTAAAAACTTGGAGAAAAAAATCCCATAAGTTTTAAAATTGTGTTATTAGCCTTTTGAGTGAAAAGGTATGAAACCCCTGTTAATTAACTACAACTGAAGTTTGCTCTGCCAGCCAAACTCTATTAACTCACAGTCCTGACCAACAGAGAAACATGCCTTAATGCTGGGGTGTGAATAACTTCCCTAATCAGAGACTTTCCAGGTTCTCTGTTTGGTACTTTTGAAATATATATGTATTTTATATTAATTTCACTGATCACCAGTGAGGGTTGTATCAAAGTTTTGATATGACAATGATAATGTTTTTTAGAAAGGTTTGTCTGTATTTATCCCCTTATCTGCAATCAGTCTGCAGTGCTTCAATGCTTTTCCTCCGTCTTTCCCTGAGTGAAGTTTAGCACTTTTTGCCCCTTTGATCATTTGAAAATAGAGAAGTAATGCCAAACCACTCTAATCTTGCATTCTAACCATAACTTGAACCTAAAGACACAATATTAGCAATTCAAGTTAGTGACTTGTGACAACAAATAGAAGTAGTCTGTTTTGCACAATCTTTAGAATCAACAATTCTCATTAAAATTAGAGTGAAGGATGGGTGCTTTGTGCCTCTGAAAATAGTCATAAGCAAAAATGTTCACAGGGTAGGAAAAACTTTGACATTTATTTTTAAGTATATCCATTTTTCACTTGTTATCAAGAGTTGCAAAAACTTTTATGAATTAAAATAAAAAGTTGTTTTCCTGGAAGGGCTGTACTGCTAGTCAGTCATGTTTTCCAGATGTTGAGATCATTAAGGGCCTGTTTATCTCTCTGTACTGCATTTCCATCTGTTCCTTACAAAAAGAGAGTAATATCTGGGAAATACAACTATGCCATAACTTTGCAAATGAAACATGAGCACCAATGTTTCAAAAAACCCCACAAGATTCTCTTCTGCCACATACACCTGCAGCTTTTGATTAAAGAAAATTTACCTCTGGACCATTTACACAACTATTTTATAGATAATTAATGGCAATAGACAGAAAAAATATTCAGGTGGCTGAGACAAAGTTTTGATATACAATTTTTTAAAGTATCCATTCAATGTTGTCAACTCAACTCACTGTGGAAAATCATTTTGGAGTTTTTTGGTTTTGTGGGGTTTTTTTTTGTTTTTGGGTTTTTTTGGTTGGTGGTGGTGGTGGTTTTGTTCGTTTTGCATAATAAAAAGTATAGCCTTTATTGTCTTTGAAAAATTACTCAAAGAAAATAGCATCAGTAGATTTTTTTGGCTTTTCTTTATACCATAGCTTATAACATTGCGCCTCTTAATGCCAGCAGTCTGTGTCCTGTCCTGATTAAAAAAAGCAGCCGTAAGGAAGCTCCAGAGTCTCTCAGTGCACATTAAGGACTGTGCACAGGAACTATGATATTTCATGGTGTTCTGGGCACAGGGTCGTGGAGTGTACTTTCTAACTCACCCTTGGTTCCTTTGGAGCGTGTGCGCAGCTTTTTATTTTCCCCATCTGCATCCATCTGCAATATTAACACAAGGTCTTTAATTCATACCTTTTGCCATTGAGAAAAAAAAACCAAAAAAAACAACACTCCAATACTTTTTTTTTCACATTTCCAAAGGCCAGACAGTAATAGGAAAAAAAAGAATAATCATGCCTTATTAATCTTGTCAAAGAGATAAAAAGCCATCTGTGAATATCTAGTAAATACCTAGGAGATACCTTTAATGATGCAGATTTGTTTAATAAAGTGATAGTTATGAGTGACTCTGTAAGGTTTAATTATGAGGTCTACAGGTGTTAGCTGAAGGCATAAGGTTAGAAAGAGTAATGCTGCATGAGTGCTGCTTTCAGCATCCACCTCCTGAAACAAAAGGTCCCAGAAAGCTGCCATGACTACAGGAACTCTGCATTTTCATTGTAACTCCATAGATATTTTGGAACCTGCATTTCTTACAACTTCGTCCTTAAGGCATGAAACCTTCTTGCTTGGCAATGCATAACTACAGATGTACAGCTTTGAAATTCTTCAACACTTAATCAACTACTTGTTTAAGAAGTTTTGCTGGAACAGACAGTGAGTTATGGATTTATAGATTTTTTGGGAGGATGTAGTATCCACATTTGTATTTTATATTAAATAAAACCAAACCCAAACAATTAAAAACCCCAGAACCCCCCAAAAGTCAGCTGATGTCATAAGTTTTCTAACTGCAATAAGAGAATTCTTTCAAGATCAGCTGTTCTCACTACACTTTTGGCTACATCTGAACCCAAATTGGAAATATGCACCTTCTGGTCTTGGATGTGGCCCAGACACATAATTATAGGGGTAGGCTTTCAATCCAGGGATTTTATTGCAAACCCCTGAAATTCAAAGGGATTAAGATTTCATGTTGTGGTGTGGAGAACTGCAGTGACATATACCAGATTGTACAACAGTGCAATTTTGACCATGTCCAGGGAGGCAAACTCCTTTCTAAAAGTAACACTTTATACATAAGAAAGACTCTATCACCAGGAATTTTTTTCTAAGCAAAATTTTGGGGACTATGGAATTTTTCTTCAGTCTCTGAAGGAAGCTTGCTATCTGTCTTTACTTGAATCTCAGTTTCCCTGTTTGTAAAATGGTGATGATAAATACATTGTAGACAAAGCAATTCCCATGAGCTTCTGCAGATCAGTTTGCAGACACCAGTGTCTGATTTATGAAACTGTGTTGGGCGATAGGTAGATATGGAGACCAGAAGTTGCCAGGCATCTCTCCCTGAAAAAATGTCACAAGATAAATACTGATGTCAACAGAGGATCCTGTCAATTATTTCACTTTTTCTTTCTGAGGATCTGCTGAACTGCACTGGACTGAGGAATGATGCAAGAAGTCCTGTTTGTGCCTTTTTCCATTTATAGAGTCTGAAGATCTGAGTATGCTTTATTTTTAGCTCAATATGACTCAGATTACTGAGATGTTTCAAAGGTCTTATCTGAAAGAACATTGCAGAATATTACAAAATTGACCTGAGAAATAAAGAGTAAAGTCAGCCTTTCTAGGGGATAAAAAGCATTTCTCTAATTTCCTGGGGTTTATTGGTTTTTATATATGTTTGAACATTATAAGCAGATATTGGAATCAAATTACCAGTTTGAAAGAGAGAACACAAACATTTGAAAAGGGTATTCATGGACTTGAAGAAGTTTAATTCTAGAACACAGGTTAGTGATGTCTGAAATGAAAATATAAACTGATGGAAATGCACATCAAAGCCAGAAAATTATACCTTTTCTCTGTTTAAATTTACATCTGATATTGATTATTAGCAGGGAAAAACATGAGGAGCTTCTGTTTATGTAGTGGGGCTGATGGCAGCCTTTACTTGTTACTATCCTTAAAAGCTGGAGAACGAGTTTTTGCAATGTGACTGCAATGGTAATGGGAAACATGGCTCTGTTCTCTGATGCTGAGTTGTGATTGAAGGCACTGACCTGCCATAGACTTATAATAGGGGAGCAGGTGTGGCAATGATGGACTTTAATTTCCTTTAATAAACCTTTTATGTGCCACACTTTTACTGCCATTCTATGCTCTCCAAGGTCCTGCACATAATAGGTTCATTACTTTTGATTACTATAGTCTATTGAGACAAACAACTCCAGAACACACTATATATTATGTTCAGTTAAACCAATATAGACTATTTATCCACTGTGCATTATTTCACCTGCAACTCTACAGACAAAATTAACAACAGCTCCTGTAAGCTAAAACTATTAAAACCACTGGTACTCCTTTGTCATCATTTCATAATAAATACCACACCAATCACAGTGCTGCTCTTTTAATTATGAAACAAAAAGCGCCCAATGCTTCTACTGAACAGCAGTTACTTTGGTCTAAACAGCAGGTTGCATTGTGATGAATATTAAAAACTGCACAAAGAGTGAAAACCAATGATAAAATCAATGCAGGTGATTTTTCAATTGATTTTCTTTCCTTGTAAAAGTTTCACACTATGAGATATCTTTATATCAACTCAAACCTATAATTTATAAGACAGTTTAGCCTGGTGCATATACATATCAAAATAATCATCATGTCTATATTGCACAAAAGACACCTTAACTTACAAATTAGTCCTATGCATTAACTTGAATTACAAAAGTAACCGCATGAAACTGAAATCTCTAAACTGTGTCAGCAAAATAAAAACCCTTCTCTTGCTCAAAATTTAAATGTCTTATCTTTGGAGTTTGACAGTTCTTTTAGAGACTGCCTGATACTGATACAAAGTGAACGAAGTGTCTCACTTCTGTTTTTCATCTGCGTAGTGATAATTTTACATGAAATCACATCAAAGGATGATCAGCAAGAAGCATTCAAACTTTCAAATCACCCATGGAACAACAAAAGGATTGAATTCTGAGAAATTCTCGCCAACATTGTTAGAGGTACTTGTTATGAAGGTGTTAATTTGAGACATGTATCATTACTGTTGTGACTGTAAAGGTTGGATGGATTCTGGAAGGTGCTTCATGCTGTCAAAGCAGGGGGACGGTCACCTTCCCTCACACTGCATGTGTTGGCTTGAGTCAGGAATCCATAAGGGGTAAATAGAATGGTCATGTCTGCACAAAATCCTCACACAATATCTCACTGTTAATTTTTTTAGCCATCAGGACCATGGGGATAATGAAATGTTTGCCAGGAAAATTTTATTGGGGGTTATAGTCCCATAATTTTTAAGGACAAGCTTTATAAAAATAATGGCCAGTGAATAGTGGAACTAAGTCCACTTAATCTTTTATAGCTAGATTCTTTGATTTGATGGATTTTAAACTCATCTAAACATTCTCTTTTCAAAATTAGTTGAAGCTAGCTAATGGACTCTGAAGGAATTAGTGGGAAATACACAGTCAGAAACACAAGGACAGAGGTGTAGCAGCTCTGCAGTCCCAAATCATTAAGCAAGTAGGCTAAGAAATAAATACTCTCTGCTTCAGTTATATTCCATTTCTGTGATCTCAAAATTTACTGAAGATATTGATGTTGAATTATTTTCTGAAAACATGTTCCAATAAATCCCCTGAGGTTTATGAATGCCCTCTGCCTGACTTTGTGAATTTCATTCTGGTCTTTCTTCCACTTTTCCTTCAATATTGATTGAGATATAAGTGTAAGTCAACAACTAGATCACAGAAAACTGACTGGAGTCACTGACAATACCCCAAATTCTGCTTGGCTGAAACTGTAAAAATTTACTTTTTAACTGCTACAGGATATTCATGTTTCTCCAGATTAATTTACTTGTCCAATAGCAGCAATCATACTTTTTGAGCAAACTATTTCAGAGTTCCTGGCTGCAGGAACCAAATGGTACTTCTTTTGTTTTTACATCCCACTGCAGTTAACAGACTCAAGAGCAGCACCTGGAAATACTTCCCCGAGTGAGAGAATCAGGATTTGGCTCTGAGTTTGGCTTTTTGTGTGCCTGGAGTCTGTCTGTGCACATGTGCATGTAGTGATTTTATAATAGGATCCAAGAATATGACTAACAGCTGAAAATAGGGCATGTGCAATAAATTATAATAACGACAACAATAATAATAGCAACTATTTCAGTTTACTTGCATATTTTTTATTTTGAATTTCAGAAACTGAATTGACACTACTATCTGGGTAGGATAGTTTTACAGCACATTACTGTGAAATAAACTATGGCTTAGGGAAGCCAGTGCTGCTGACATAGGTAAAAGTGAAATGCATCTCCTGGAAAGAGCTCATGTAAGAGCTATGCAGTTTTTAATTTCCATTGTAATCTTCACACAAACGTGGCTTTCCTGGAGTGGGTTTCACACTGCTGGAGTGTCAGTCTGTTTCCTTTTGCATAACTAGCTAGAGGAATAGAAATCACCAGTTCATCTAGAGATAAAGAGTATAAGATTTATCATTGCACTGTGAGTTTCTGACTGAAAGTTATACCTGATTTTTAAAATTAAATTCAGGGAATCATTTCACTGGGACAAACTGTACCTGATTTTGGTAAAGGAGGTCAGGAAAAAGAATCACTTTTCTCTACTCTTTTTAATTTGTGAATTACCAAAGTTAATATTGAGATAACAGCTATGTCTGTCACAAGCTTGGTGAACTCAGTCAGAAGAAAAAAACTCTCTGATTTTTAAAGCACACAAATCCATTCTTAAATCTCCAACACAAGCCACAGACTTAAAAGATGAAGTCAGATTCTGCTAAGGACAATGAACAGGACTGTGCTATACTGTGTCCCAAGGTGACAGGGCACTCTGTGTACTTCTCTCTACAGTAAATAATTCTCCCTACAGTAAAACCCTCAGAGCAAGATTTTCAGTGGTTTTGATACTTATATTTTGATATTTCTTTTCACTAACTCATGTAAGATTTTACCACATAAAAAGAGAATAAAGTCATAGAGAAAAAAAATTTTAATAATCTGAAGGCAAGATTTCCTATAGCCCACCCAGAGGAGCAGATCACTATTTCTCTGA